GCTTCCTACATTAAGATGCAAGTACATGCCTAAACATTCCCGTGCGTTCCCTGAAATCCGTCTCCAAGTAAGAAGAGCATTAGCCTCATTCCTCGAAAGAGACCCCGAATCCCAGAAATGCAGAAGTGGACCCGGGGGAAAACCTGCATGTATCCCGACAAAGAGCCCACAGAGAAATCTTTCCATACTGACACCTCCAAGACAGAAACACAATGCAAATCTCCCCAGACCTCACTGCAAACTCCCGAGGATGAAGGGCTCAGTGTCGTAGTTACTTCAAATAACAATATGAATGATGTCAAGATCCTGACAGTCCCTGGGAACTAGGTTGGATATTTTTTAATTCTATTAACACATGTTTGTGTGAGAGGGGATATTTTTTTCTTTAAAAAAAAAAAATCTCTACCACAAAGTCCTTGACCTTGCTTTGTGTTTCTATTTAGGGCCCAGTCCCCTTCACCTCAGATAGGAAAGAGGCTTTTAGAGAAATTTTGCTTGAGAAAGGAGTTTGGGTCAGAAGCCCAAAAGATAAACCCTGGCGTTAAGTGTTGATTCCAAATGAGTCCATTAGAAAACCCACAGTGGTAGAATTATATTTGCATAGCTTTCAACAGTGACTCTCTAAACATCAGCAAAAGGACTCATCTTCTTTGCAGATACCAGGAACGGGTGGTGAGTGATGTGCTTGGTGGAAAGGTGCTTTCCCCAGAAGGATAATGTCATTTTTGAAGGCTCTAGAATTCAGGTTTTGTTTCCCTAGGCGAAGAGAAGACATTCTTTCAGGTAAATTGCCAGATCGAATACTTAATACTCAGGCAGTTCTGAGTGTCTTTCTAAGTATAATTTATGTTTGCCTGATGATGCAGCAGGAAGAAAACTTGTTTCTGAATAATAAAGAGATGACAGCCTCAAGTCAGATGTGTTGGGCTGTTTTGAGAGAAGAAAGGGGAACTGGGCAGCCTAAGTGGCAGACAGGTCTTTGTATAGGGTTCCTTTGGCAAAGAGGGGACAAGTGCTAATAGAAGGTGAAGCAAATTATAGCTGTTCTGGTCCCAAAGGGAAGGCAAAGCTTACACTAGAGACGAGGCGGCCCAGAAACCCAACCAGGGCTGGCAACCCAAGATCATCACATCAGAAAGGAGGCATTTTGCATCGGCCCCTTAGGATAGAAATTTAGTGACTAATAGGACAGTGCTCAAGGGGTGGGCCTAAGTCTCCTGTCACAGTGAAAGCCCAGAGCTCTGAGTCTGCTTTCGAGCAAGTATTTCGACCCCAAACTTTGTCTGCCTTACTGTCTTCAAAGGTGGCCCAAGAGCTCAGGTGGATGAATTGGAAGATTTTAAGAATTCTATCTGCCTTCTACTTCTGAGGGAGCTAAGACCTCCCAAATTCTCACATCCTAATGCAGTTTAGAGAAAAGGAAAACCAAATGATTAGGGTCTGGGTTCATGATTCTCCCTGCATGGGCATCACACCACAGAGAGAAATGAAATGCAAAGCTCAGAGACACCAAGAAGATCACTGCCGTCTAAGAGAAGCCTGCCTTTTATTTCCAAGTTGAAGTAAGTTATGTGGGCTATTGTATAGAAATGGAAAAAGTAGGTACTCGATCTTATCTGAGGAAAACTGTCCCATTGGCTTCCAGGGCAAGGAATACTTACCTGAGAAAATGAAGAGGCCACTTCCATATGACTGAACCATCTCCCCCCTTCCCGAATTCATTTCCTATGTCCATCTTCCTAATCTGCCTCAATAGCAGCTGAGCTTAATACTCACTAAATGGAAAAACTCTATACACAGAGTTCATCAGTTAGAGTTTTATATTTTGATGGTCTAGCACAGGTGCTGGAAAACCACAGCCTGTGGGCCAAATCCAGCCCATTGCCCAATTTCGTAAATCAAGCCTCACTGGGACACAGACCATGCTCGTTAATTTACGTATTGCTTACGGATGCTCCACGTTCGGCAACAGCAGACCCGAGTTGTGGTAACAGACTGATGGGACACAAAGCCAAAGATACTTACTATCTGGCCCATTACAGAAAAAGCTTGCCAGGCTTGGTCTAGAATGTCACAGTCCACATTCTACAGAGCAGAGATTATTGATCCTATGGGGTCTATAAACTGGACTCCATTCCCCTTCCCTCAACAAAAAATGTTTGCAAAACTATGTGTTCCGTGTACCATGTGCATTTTCCTAGGGAAAAGGTCCTAGCTTTCAACAGATTCCTAAAGAAATCCAGAGTACCCCAATTAAAGCCAAAGAAAACCAAAGAGTATCTTTAGCTGCCAGCATATTTAACCGTGCTAACACACACACACACACACACACCCCTAGACAAGAGGAACACAGACCTTCTCCAATAAAATATCTTTTTTTTTTCCTATTCTAACAGGGTTTGTTTGGTAGTTTCTTCGCCCTAGATTTTACTGTGGCAATTTTGCATCTGAATATGTAAATTTTCAGGGGTCCAAAGATCTGCACCTTCTACTTGCTAATTCAATAAAAACGGAAGATTGCTTTAAGCCAGAAAATTGCCCTCTCAGCCATAGAGAGACATTAAGAAGACAAAATCCCCAGCACAATAGAGGTTTAATTCATTTTACTCGATCTGACCACCAACTCCAGTGAATTCTAGGAATATATGAATCTTCCCTTCAAGGTCGGAGGCAGTCACGTGGCCAAAAAAGCATTGGGGTGGAAAGTCAGGGACTAAGCATGTACTTCATATTCAAGGCTGAAGATAAAGCGTTTCATTAGACAACTTTGGAAGAAACAGAGTAGTTTCTCTCAGCAGAGCTGATGAAGGCTGTTGGCCAACAGAGGCATTTTTAGTGTTAAAAACTATGAAAACATTAGCCCCTCTCCGTCTCCTTTGTCATCACTTTCCAAAGACACTAAATCAAGTGCTCTTAGAGAAACCAGGAACCCCTTTAGTCTCAGCGCTGGCTCCCTCGAATGCTGAGGCTAATGAGTATCTCATGTCCCCAACTAGGACATCTGACATGGCAGAAGTGATCAACAGCAAAGGAAGGTGGGACCACCATTAAAAAGCTAACCAACCAGAGGCGAGCAAAAACAATAATAACCATGATATACAACGAGCGAAGTTAAGATAGAGGATCAAGTAACCTGCATGTACGTACAGGAGACTTCCAACTTCCAACTTCCAACAACTTAAATATGGTTTGTGCATCTCCATTTTTATTTTAAAATTAGTTTAGAACTTATAACAGTTCTCAAAAAAAAAAAAACCCACATTCTAGAATTTAGACTCATAAGACTATCAAGTCATTCTACTTTAGCACAGAAGACATCTAATCACCATGGAGCACATCATTTCTATGGGGAAAATGTATCCCAAGTTTCAAATCAGTATTCCGGGAACATGCCATCTCTGGGAAACTGTAGGTCAATTCTCTCTTTCAAAGGTACTAGACCAGTGTCCTCAACCATGTTGTGCATCAGAATCACAAACGGCGTGTGAGAAAGGCCAATTCTTAGGCCCCACCCTGGACCTTGGCATTGGAAGTGTTCACCAGCTCCCAGTGATTCCAGTGTGCATGAGACTGAGAACCACTGACAAACTCCTCCTCTACCTCCGTATGATTGTTTTGCAAGCTGAGGCCCTGGGCCCCACACACTGGAGAGGCATACACAGGCGAACGAACACACCCGGTTAAGACTATTTCTAAGCAGAAACCACACTGAATAGCAGGTAAGAGTCTCTGACTCCGAGCAAAAAGATGTTTTCCTTTATGTATTTCACCAAAAACTGTCATGGAATGACCTCTAATTCTTTTCTACTACTTGCTTTTTTTCATAAGATGGATGAAGGAAGGAAGTAATACAATTGTGTGTGTGTGTGTGTGTGTTTTTTTCTCTTGATCTCAAAGAGAGAAACTGCCAGATTTAGAAAGGTGGGTGGGAAAGTGAATGGCCATAATTAGTAGGATAACACACCTTTTCTGGCTGGAAAAACATGAGGACAGAGGTAGCTTTCAAGAAGACGAAACTATGTTTGATCAGACAGATATGTTTTGGAACTGGATACAAAGAAGTGAATGGAAGTACCACACTCACTCGGAGCAACTGCTATGAGTAAAACAGAGGTCAAGTACAAGGGGAAAACACGGACACAGAAAAATAAGAAAGAGCACTTCAAAACCTAAAAGGGGAAGAAGGGAGGATTTTAGGGAGCAATAAGCCCCATATCTGTGAACTTGAGGCAAAGAAAGAAACAGTGAACTCTCTTCTTTGTTTTTAATGTGAATTCTCCATCCTTGTCCTCCAAGAATAGGCTTATATCAACCCAATGTCCAAAAGCAATGTTTCCTTGTTATTATCAGTCTACAATTTCCCTGTATCACTTCACTCCTTTTTCCTCAAGGAATCTAGAGAACGCAGCGGCATATTTAGCCCTGAGAAAGGGCTTTCATTGCATTGTCCACCTGCCAGGGACCTACAAGGGCACCTGCCTCCTCCAGCCGAACGAGCTACTGTGTGCTGCTGGAGAAAAATGTGGCCTCACCTCAACCTGTGGAAATCTGGCAATCTATTCCAAGGAACGAATTCAACCCTCCCCATTAACTCCTCACCAATGAAAGAACTTTCATTGTCTTCTATTGCAGCCCTCCCATTAATAGTAAGGCTTCTTTATTGAACAAGAAATAAAAAAGAAGAAGAAGAAAGCAAAAGGGTATGTGAAGGATTGCCACAAAGGCAATCCTTGTGGCTTATACATCGTAAGGAGGGGCAGAAGCAAAAGAAGGCACCGATTCTCTATGTGGTTCAACATGATATCTCCTCTCAGAATTGACACATGTCCTCTTTACTAGATAGAGATGTTCACAGAAGCCACTTGGCAGAGCTTGTGACTTATCAAATACACACACACACACACACACACACACAGAAGGAGAGCTAGGTGATATAAAATCGCATCACGGATCACCTTCCATTAATACCACAAATGCCAAGAGAACCAAATTCGTGACTCTGAGATCAAAGTGATTTTATGTTTTCCAAAGTTAGGAAAAGGGTATGACCGGGATGGCTCGCCACTTCCCCTGAAATATTGTGGTTATGCCCCAGGAGTTGAGCAGAAATCCAAGGACGTGGCAAGTAGCCACCACAGCTGGAACAGGGAGGTTACAAGAGGGGTTCCTTGTTGATACTGTACAATACTCTTAAAGATGCATATTAAATAATTTCTTCTGGACCACAGACACGATTGAACTGAAAAAATAAAAGCCCTATAAATACTGCCAACCCAACCTTGTCTTTTGTATCTCCCTCCTTGCATAAAATAGCATCTTTGCAAAGAAGCGCTGAAACATAAATATTAAAATAATAAGTGGGACAAACTACAGATCTACTTACAATTTCATCACTACGGTAGCACCTTGTGACCAGGGCCAATGCATTCATTTCGTAAAGAACAAGAGAAGTCTGAGAAGCTTAAGGACTCATATGACACCTCATTAAATATTTAATCACCTTTTTAAGTCCTAAGCCTTTGTCATATTTCATCCATCTAGACAGTTCATTCTATACTAGAGATTCCAAGGCCCCCTTTGGAGGGGGAAAAAAAAAAAAGAAAGAAAATGGGGAGAGGAAAAAAAAAACCTTCTGAGAGGCAGGATTAAATTATCTCAAAGATGAGTTTCTATTGGCGCTTTAGTGAACCTCTTCACCCTGTAAACCCACCAATCCACAGGAGGGCCAACCGACTGAGTCCATGGTACTTAGTCTCCAAGAATCAGTTTTACAAAAGATGCCACGTCTGTTGCTTTGGATTCGTGTAGGGTGAAAAATGGATGTTGCTGGGAAAGAAAAGAAAAACACATGGTATTAATATTTGCCACTGACAATATAGGAGATTAGCAACTTCATAGATGTATTTGGTCAACAGGTTCAAATAACCCCTATCGGGGTTAAGCTGGACTCTTCCTACCTCTTCCCAAATCAAGCACACATCTAGTGATGTGGACCTTCTAAAGATACCTTTTATCTTGTGTTGTACCCCTCCCAGGTTGATATCTGTTTCCATGACAGAGTATCTACTGCTTTGTGAAATAAATCTGTAATCAGGATACCTAAATCCCACCTGTGGTGAAATACAAGGATTTGGGCAAAGATGGCCCAAACTCTGATTTACCCGTAACCCTGTCCCCTACAAAGTAATTTTAGACTGATACAGGAAAATAATGAGAAATTTCATAGATTTGTGCACATCGATTTCTCAGGAAATGGATGGTAGAATGAGAATCCAATTGGGTAGCACAGCAAATGAGCAAGGTAGTGTTTCGCCGGACGTTGGAGAGCTAGTTTGGACTGATACAGTTAACAAAGCCACTCTCTAAGCCACATTGACAGCCACGAGTTACACTTATGTCTCTCTTGATGAAGAGTTGATCCATGTGGAAAATAATGTTGACTGCCAAACTCTAGGTATGTGCAGGGAAACTCAACTTGGAGATTAAAGATTGAAAAGGAAAAAAAAAGAAAAAGAAAAGAAAAGAAATGGTCTCTATTCACACAGCTTTCAGATTAAGCAAACTTTACAAAAACGCCAGGGTTAGCAATTTGCTGGGGAAATAGGCATAGTGGGTCCAAGAAGCCACACATTCCAAAAAACAGTTCTGAAGAGAATGAAACATTTTTCTCTGCACCAGTACAACCCTCCCGAAAGGCTCAATTTTGTTACGGTTAGTTCCCGGCTGTCACCCTGGAACCTCACACCTCTAATTAAAAGGATACATCAGCTGATGAACCACAGTGTTCACAGTGGAAACAGAATCAAACCAACAAACCAAAAAGGACGATTCCTTCTGATACAACCCAGTGCCATGTACCGCCCCCCCCCCACCAGTCACGGCCACCTCCCTGATTGTCTGGTGGTATTATTTTCAGGGACTAGGTTGAACAGCTAAATAGGAACGTTTTTGCATGCAGACATGTAGATGAGTCACTCCGTTTCCCCCTGCCGTTGGGGATGTTAGTTTATAACCTTCTTGTTGCCTAGCTGTAGGTTTTCTAATTATATTTGTTTTAAACCTGACAGCACAGGGCTACATGAGTCAGCTCTGTGGGGAACTGAATGCCCACCCGTAGAAGTTTTAGGAAACAATGCAAATGGGAAAGGAACAAAGAAATAAAACCCAAAATGAAGGTAGGTGGTCACTGCTAAGTATCGTGATTCAAGAAAATGATAAAGACGCTTTCTGCTCTGGCCCATCTGGAAGATACAGGTTGGGCGTTGGCTCACAGCCTCATGCCCACCGAATTCACTGAAGATGCCGGGTCCTTCACCCTGAGCTCCTTGTACAAATAAACAGCAGCGTTACTTCTGATTACTAACCTCTTACACAGCACACTTACCAAGTGCTTTTACCATCATGCTCATTAGCTTTCCCACATCCTCTTGACATTTGGTGATCTTTTAGTGTACTTAAAAGTTTTTACTATCAAAACAGGACATGTCAAACCTCAGAGTGTCTCAATGACTACTTTCGATGCCTGCCAGCCCCATCTTGCCTCTGGTTCTGCTCTGGCTGCTAGCTCAGTGAATGTAGCCTTAGTCTGTGAATGAATCAAATAACTTGACCTAAAGTTTTTACAGAAAAAATCCGCAGGCATCTTTCAGTTTATTCTCTGGGTAAATGCTGTGAGAGGCAGAAGGCAGGGGGCGGGGGAGAGAGCAGGCAGGCACGCCAAAATGGAAAGTGTGACTCGCCTTCTTGTGTGGGTTTTGAGGCTGTGAAAGGTTGGGAGGGAACCCAGTCCCCTCTATAAGCAATGGACTAAGAATAGCAAGGCCAGCAACTGGGAGGTGAGCAAAGAGGCACCATGGATTCATCCCCAGGCTGGGTTTCTCAAAAAAGGAGCCAGGTACAGGAAAGGAGGACATTACCAACAGTCGTGCCTCGAGAAAACATGGAGATCCAAGAACACACACTACCAGGAACATCTGGGCAAGCCGCAAGTACCAATGGTCGCCATATCTTCTACACAACACGTCACCCCTTAAGACTATGATTTTCTAGGGGTTCAGTCATCCTTGCTTAACACTATGATTTGATCTAGGACTTCCCGGATATTTGAAGAACATAATCACCTCACTGGGCAATCACTTGCATCAGCTGATTATCATTTCTGGTGGTTATCATCTGGGACAGGGGTCAACAATCAATGGTCCAGGGGCCAAGTCTATCCCACTGCCTATGTGTGAAATAAAGGTTTTTGGAACACAGCCGCACCATCCGTTTACGTACTGAATATGGCTGCTCTCTCACAGCAAAACAAGAGAGTTGAATAGCCACCCACAAAGCCTAAAATATTTACTATCTAACCCTTTACAGAAAAAGTTGGCTGGTCCCCACTCTAGAGGAACACATCCTACTGAGTCATGTCCCCCAGTGGGAGTTTGAGAGAACAAGCACATGAGATGATGTGAAAGCATGTATACCCCTCAATCCAAGTTGGGGGGTGGGGGGAGCAGTTGAGATTTCTATAAAGAGGTACACGTCTGTGTTGGGGCCTTAATTATACCACCCTTCACCTGGAAAAAAGGATTTTTTTTCCCCCTTTCTTCACCAACTCCTACAATTTAAACAATAGTCTCTCAGCATGAGTTTTCCCAATGCTAAAGTCAAAGAGTTTGGACTCAGATTTTCCACTTAAAAACCTCAATTCCACAGGAAAGCAGAGAGCAGTTATAGCCTTAGAAGGCAAGTCCATTTCCAGTACCACACAGACTAGTGTCCTAAAAAGAAGTGGGGGGAGGGGGGTGCACATGACTTTGCAACATTAATATGTAGACCATAAAAGACCATAGCATTAGAACATCCTGGAAAGTGGAATGCAACATCAGTATAGCATACACCCGAGTATACTAAGCTAGAACTCAGCAATTTTTTTCTCAAGTATGTTCCTCTGAAACCTCTGATTAGAGGTCACTTGGAAGGAAATAAAAATGTTCTGCATTTTAAATAGCCAGAAATATATAGAAAATGCTCTTTTATCTGAAAATAGGGACAAATAAGGCAAGTTTACAGTAGGAGTACAGGCTTCCCAAGACACCCCAGAAATCACTCCATGTCCATTGCACTTGATGTGAAATCAATTTGAAAATGCTCTGCGGGTTGCATCAGCATACCCAAAAAGGAGGGTAGCTGAGACTAAAAAGTTCCCTGACTGGCTATTAAAAATATCATCAGGGCGATAAAAAAAAAAAAAAATACACACACACACACATACACACACACACATACATTCAGGAGGAAATGTACAACCCAAACATGTGGTATGCTGAGATTTTCTCAAGCATTATGCCTTTTCTCCCTCAACTGTGGGTCTTGATCAACAGCCAACAGAATGCTGAGAACCCAGGGGATGCCTTTCCAAAGGGGACAATTGAGAGCCCAAGGAGACCACCTTGTCTATCCTAAAACTCTCCCCAGTGTTCCTTTACAGTCCCCCAATTGAAGAATGGTTCAGACTTGAAATCTCCAGGCTGCACTCTCTTTTCTTTTCTCCAGCTTTATTGAAATATACTTGACATATAACATTGTGTAAGTTTAGGTGTACGTGACGATTTCATACACTTCTATATTATGAAATAATTACCACAATAAGGTTAGCTAACCTCACACACCTACCATTCTTCTTTTGTAATAAGAAGCTTTAAGATCTACTCTCCTAGCAACTTCCAAGTATGCAATACATTATTATTAACTATAGTACCATGCTATACACATTCTATCCATGGTGTCGCCAAAGGCAGGCTTTCTCTCTTTTTTATGGCTGAATAATATTCCATTGTAGGTGTATGTGTGTGTATCATATTTTCTTTACCCATTCATGCACTGATGGACACTTACATTGTTTCTAGGTCTTTGCTATTATAAATAACACTGCCATGAGCATGCCGATGTGGATACCCTCTGAAGATAGTGATTCCATCTCCTTCAGATATATACCCAGAAGTGGGATGGCTGGATCATATGGTATTTCTATTTTTAATTTTTTTGAGGAACCCACATGCTGTTTTCTATACTGTCTGTACCAATTTGCATTCCCAACAAGAGTGCACAAGGGTTCTTTTTTCTCTACATTCACACCAACACTTGTTATCTCTTGTCTTTTAATGATGGTCATTCTAACAGGTGTGAGGTGGTATCTCATTGTGGTTTTGATTTGCATTTCCCTGATGACTAGTGATGACGAGCACCTCTTCACGTACTTGTTGCCAAAAATCAAGTGGGATTACATCAAACTAAAAAGCAGAAACTAAAGAGATGATCAACGAAATGAAATGTCAACCTACAAAATGGGAGAAAACATTTGCAAACCACAGATCTGATAAGGGGTTAATATCCAAAATATATTTTTAAAAAACTCATACAACTCAAGAGAAAAAAAAAATCTCATTTTTTAAAATGGGGAAAGGACCTCAAAAGACGTTTTTCCAAAGAAGATATATAAATGGCCAATTATCTATTTGTAGATAGTACATGACACACTTTTTCCATGTCAGAGCCACCTCACCACACCATTTGTTAAAAGATCTCAGGAACCTATACTTCTAGGACCTGCCCTGAGTGGGTCTTAAAGACTGAGCACTACTTATCTTGGGGTGGGACAGAAGCAAGCATTTAATGCCTGCTGAATACCTGTGCTCCAGGAATAAATGTCAATCTTTGCTCTTATCTCTCCTGAACAAAACTCTTCCTTCCCCTGCTAAAATTAAAAACTTGATAACTGAAACAAATCTAAGGAATGGTTAATGCAAATTAGTAAGTAGTTACAATTTTATCATATTTCCCCCAATATGTGTTTCAACATATACTTCGATAAAAGTTTCCAAGTTTTGCCCCTGCCATCTACACTGAAGAATCATTTGTAATTAGCTTAAAATTATAGTTACAACAATTTAAGAGAAACTATTTTAAAACAACTCTTCTGAGGTCTTATTTTCACTCTTTTTTTTCATAGATAGTACAAATGGTAAGCTGTGAATGCAGAGGTAATATAATTCAAATTAATAAGGCTTGGTCTAACTTTTTTCCACTAACATGAAAACCAAAAGGAGAAAACAGTCTTTCCTCCCTAAACACCCATCAGAAAGCAGCCTGTCCAAAGAATCCTAAATATTTTATCAAAAATATCTGTGTTTTATAGCCAAACTGTGGAAAGAGCCAAGATGTCCATCGACAGAGGAATGGATAAAGAAGATGTGGTATATATACACAATGGAATATTATGCAGCCATCAAAAGGAATGAGCTCTTGCCATTTGCAACGACGTGGATGGAACTGGAGGGTGTTATGCTGAGTGAAATAAGTCAATCAGAGAAAGACATGTATCATATGACCTCACTGATATGAGGAATTCTTATCTTAGGAAACAAACTGAGGGTTGCTGGAGTGGTGGGGGGTGGGAGGGATTGGGTGGCTGGGTGATAGACACTGGGGAGGGTATGTGCTATGGTGAGCGCTGTGAATTGTGCAAGACTGTTGAATCACAGATCTATACCTCTGAAACAAATAATGCAATATATGTAAAGAAAAAAAAAGAAGAAGAAGATAGCAGGAGGGGAAGAATGAAGGGGAGTAAGTCGGAGGGGGAGACGAACCATGAGAGACGATGGACTCTGAAAAACAAACTGAGGATGCTAGAGGGGAGGGGGGTGGGGGGGTGGGTTAGCCTGGTGACGGGTATTAAAGGGCACATTCTGCGTGGAGCACTGGGTGTTATGCACAAACAATGAATCATGGAACACTGCATCAAAAACTAATGATGTAATATATGGTGATTAACATAACAATAAAAAAATTAAAAAAAAATTAAAAAAATAAAAAAAAAACTAATGATGCAATGTATGGTGATTAGCATAACAATAAAAAATTTAAAAAAAAATCTGTGTTTTCCTCATTGCTGAAATCCTTTAAATCATGCCTTCCCTCATTTATATTAGTAATTGATGACTCTTGGTATCTTGAGAACCTGAAAATGTAAATTTTGGGGCACCTGGGTGGCTCAGTCATTAAGCGTCTGCCTTCAGCTCGGGTCATGATCCCAGGGTCCTGGGATGGAGCCCCACATTGGGCTCCCTGCTCCGCGGGAAGCCTGCTTCTCCCTCTCCCATTCCCCCTGCTTGTGTTCCCTCTCTCGCTATATGTCTCTGTGTCAAATAAATAAAATAAAATCTTAAAAAAAAAAGAAAATGTAAATTTTATTGGCATCATTTCGTCCATATGATGACAAGATTACCAAAATGGAAAAAGTTGCTAAGAAAGGTGACCTGCCCCAGTCATACTAAAGAAGGACTTAGGATACGTGAAGGATTTAGAACACACTCTTTTTTGCTTGAATTCACTTCCGGTCACCAACGTCTCAATGAACCAGCTCTCCTGATACAGTTGTTGGATTATAATTTAGGTCTTAGTCACTTTACCTTTTTACTAGCTGTTGGTTTGGACAGGTTTACACCACTAACAATACGTACCATAAGCTCTGGATATGTTGGCCGTTCTTTGGAATTCTTCTTCAAGCTTAAAGAAAAAAAATTAATCACATTAAAATCTGAGATTTCAATCTGTATTTTCACCAGACTAGGGTTTCAGAATCTGCAGAAGACTAAACATAACCAGCTTTAAAAGGTACTGAATACATGAATCTCCTATCCTGACTCTTCTCTTCTGTTACACATAAAATTATGTTTCAAATCCCTCTAGGTATATCTTCATAGGAAGCACGGGGGGGGGTGTGTGTGTGTGCGCGTGTGTGTGTTTACTTTCTTTCTGATACTTTGCCAATGACATACAAACTAGCTTTTCTGATCTACAGCCATCACATTCCAAAACACATATCTACTTTCCTTCAAAACAATTTTTCAGGGCGCCTGGGTGGCTCAGTCGTTAAGCGTCTGCCTTCAGCTCAGGTCATGATCCCAGGGTCCCGGGATCGAGCCCCACGTCTGGCTCCCTGCTTGGCGGGAAGCCTGCTTCTCCCTCTCCCACTCCCACTGCTTGTGTTCCCTCTTCCCTCTCTCACTGTCTCTGTCAAATAAATAAAATCTTTAAAAAAAAAAAAACAATTCTTCTTCCACCCCCACTGGCAAAGAAATTGGCAGGTGTTTCTTACATTACATGTTATCTTTTCGCTATCTTTGATGCATGGTTCTCCTTGCTTCCGATTCCCTTGAATGTGTGATCTGCTTTTATAGACTCCTAACCAAACCCACCTGAGACAGAAGCAACACCCCCGTAAAATGTCTAAAGTAATGCTACTTGTTTACAACCTCCTGGCTAATGAAAAAGAATGTACACTCAGCCAGTGACTTTGCAATGATTCTTCTTAGAAATTCTTTGTGGTCACGCGCTACTGTCGCGTGGCTCCCATTCTGTATACCCAACTATCTGTATACACAAATGTTTTAATGGCATTTGATACCAGAGGCAACAGTAACAAAACAGCATTAAGAAGAGACCAGCCCCTCACCTCTATCCTCAGCCCACCCCTGTATCCACCCGTGGCCTTAAAATGGAAAAAAAGAAAATAAGTGGTTTATTAGGAGTTGGAACCCCAGGTTACAGAATGAAGAGAAGGATGGTTCTGAAAACTGTGGTTTGCAAGGCAACCTAGACATCCCTCTGCCCACCGGGCCACCGAATCCCACATGATGGAAAGGAACGCAGCCTGGCATTGAAGAAACCAAAATGTGACTGATCATTAGGGTTGCTGGGATTTGTGCCAATGGGTCCTTTTGAGCAGATGAGACCTAGTATGTGTGACATGAGCTCGGCTCCACCCCCATGGTGTAATAATAATGAGGAGAGGGGTCAAGGTATGGAGCCATAAGAGAGTGAAGTAGTTGAGACGCTTTGAGAAAGTGTGGTATAAAACAAAACGAAATGAAAAAAAAAAAAAAAGAGAGAGAGAGAGAGAAAGCTTTTGAACCAAAACAACTTAAAGCAGCCTACCAGTTTATTCCAGGCAATGCTGTGGGTAGAAGCCAGGGAACCTGAGACAGGGTACAGTAGATGTGAGGAGAGAAGTTTTCAACCTGGAACTGAGGGCAGATCTAGGACCTAGTGACCTCAGTGACCAGACAACCTATGAGAGAAAGTTTCGTCTCAACTGAGGATAAAAATAAGAGTGAATTAGAAAGAGGAATTATCAACTGTCAAAGTCAGATTGATCATGGGAATGTGTGCTTGGCTGAAATGAATGAGATCTTGGAAATCCCACTTGGGACTCTGCACGGGTCTACGGCCTGACATTCTATAAGGCTTTTTTGATGGTTCTCAACTGCAGGTGATTTTGCCCTCCGGGGGATACCTGGCAATGTCTGGAGGTATCTCTGGTTGTTGATACACCTGGGGGCGCCTAGCGGCATCTCCTAGGGGGAGGCTCGGGATATTGCTAAACATCCTATAACACACAGCACAGTTGCCCACAACAAAGAATGATCCAGTCCCAAAAGTCATGAGTGAAGAGGTTGCAAACCCCTTGGGCCACGTGGACGAGGGCATTCCTCCTCATTGCTGCCTTCTATGCCCTGCTCGGAAATGAAATTCACTTAGAAGCCCCTCCCACTGATTCGTCTGTCATTTGCACACATTCTCAACACTACCAGCTCTCTCTCCCTGAACCCTGGGAAGCAGAAGTTTTCTTTCTAAGTTCAAGAGCTAGTTCACCTAGAAGGAAACAGAGAAGAAGAAATGTGATCCCAGGAGTAATGCTGACTCACGCACAAACCGTGGTGAAGAAAACAGGCTAATGTACAAAAGCGCTGAATTTTCAGCTACTGTTCAAAGCCAGTCAAAAACCAGAAAGTCTTCTCCATAATCTGAACAATTTAACTTGCTAGAAGCAATCATGAAAAACATAGACGCCACCTTAAATCCACACTCAATAGTGACGTGCTTGATTTCAGGTGTCTCTACTTAGACGGGCGCCTTAGGAACTCCTTGGACCAGGGCTGAGCATCGACTCTGCTAACATCCATTCTCCTTGAGGACCATGACCCACCCTTCCACTACTAGCTTCCACTGGTTAGCGACCAAACCAAAGGGAAGACAGAAAAAGAGGCTTCTTCCTCAAACATCAGCACACTGGCCTCTTTTACCAACCAGAGATCTTTGTGATGTTTGCTGATTTTTGAACTTCCATTTACTTGATAATGAAAGAAGACTCTCTCCTCTCATCAGGTTGAGGAATGTAAGCACTTCCATTTTTTAAGGAGAGATCATTTTGAGTCGGGATAGCTTATCTTTTCACTTCTGGAACAGTTTAAGAAAATTTCTCTGGAGTTGTTGTTGTTTTTTGTTTGTTTGTTTGTTTGTTTTGTCTGTATAAAGAAAATGTGGGGAAAGTACCCCAAGTTAATGCATCAGAAAATGTTTCGAATTCCTGAAACCTCAGGGCTTGCCGGCCGATAGGCTTTCTTGACTTACGGCCTCTGATTAGAAGGCTCAAAATTTACCACAAGCACTATTGCAAAGCATTCATGGAAAATACTTACACAGCAATCCAAGGCTGTTTATTGAATTAATATAACTGATAAAGCCCATTCTCTCCAACTTTTTAAATTGAGAACACTTCAAAACATTGGCTAAGAATAGCAAAATACTCAGGATAAGGTTGGGGGGGTGGAAAGCAAATTTTCCATGTTTGATAGGAAGTGCTTGAAATTCAGGATAAAATAACAACCGTGGAGTTCAAAGCTACACCAATTTCTTTTTGGACTGGAGTCAGACTTTTGAATTTTCAAGTGGCTTGTCATTTTCAAGCGTGCAATTAGCTAACTGCTCTAATTCCTCTTCCAAATGCCACAACACACGCTTCTGACCGTAGCTGACACTAAAATACAGCTTCATGCTGTCTTGAGAATTGCTAGCTTGAAGTTTGTGCTGACCAGAGGATTTCTGCCTATTTGAATTCCCCCTGATGGCTTCCAAGAAGGGCTATGTGGTGCATCCACAGAATAAAAACACGTTGCGCCTCTCAAGCCCATATATTTGTCATAAGCTAAATAAACATCCAGAGCCTCTGTTTACTCTTCTTCCTGAACAAGTCGAGAACTATATTTGATTGTCTCTGTATTATGTTTGTTCCTCTGAGTCAGTATCAACGTCTGAGGGGGCTCCAACACACTCCAACGTGCCATCAGGCTGGTCAGCTGGGCACTGAGCCTCTCAAACAGGCCTGAAGGAAAAGCAAAAAAGAAGTCAGGCTGTTTGGGCACACGGCAGTTGGGTTTCCAGAGACTTCCTTCAGTCACCGAGCCTGTGAACCTATAGGAAGAGGTTCTAGAGAGAAGCGTAAGCCTGCCACAATCCCCTTTTTCCTTTTTAGATCCTCCTTTGTTCATCCTCTATTGGACTAGAATGTAAGGCTTTTCTATGAGACTTCTCAATTATGAATCCCAAAACAAGGCCTTTATGGACAGCACCGCCTACTCTAGGAACACTTCAAAACCCCTGTGATAAGAAAGCGAAAAAAAGACGAGGAAATGTCATTCCGTAGTCCTATTTCAAAATAAGTACAGAAGGGAAGGGTTGGTAGGATATCATTGGTATTTCCTTAAAGTCCGTAAGGCATAAATGTCTCAACTTGCTTCCCTCTCCTACCCAACCCCCATCCTCCCACCCCACCCCGAGGATGCTGTCTCTCTGAAGCTACTACGAAAAAACACATCAGCTGGGGCTCCGTGCTCTAGAGGTAACTTTGGGTATGAGAGTGATAGCCTGCTAGTGCTTTCTACTCCCCTCCGCAGACCAGGATTACTGTCAACTCACAAACAGTGATCAGAGGAGACTGAAAGCCAAGCGGGCTCCCTGGAAAAGGCTGTGCCGTGTGGAGCAGCACGGCGAGGGAGGCGGTCATCAAACGCTTACTTAGCATGCACCCCAGGAAAGGTCACAAATCCTCTGACAGATGACCAAGGCTGTGGATAACGCAACCTTTCTCTTTTAGTTCGACACTCCGCCCAAAGACAGAGGCAGGAGATAAAACCACCGATGTATCTATCTCGAAATTTGGGATTCATCTTTCACTTTCCAAATCTGTATTCCCCTTTCCCCACTTAACCACAAAAATAGGGGCTTTCTGAGAAGTCTTGAAGGATCAGAACCTGACTATGTCATGAAAATTCAAAAAACACATGGAGGTCACTCCAAAAAGGGTCCTCTCATGAACGGGTATCTCAAATCCTGCTGCATACATGGGAAAATGGAGGAATAGAAGGGGGGTAAGTCGGAGGGGGAGACGAACCATGAGAGACGATGGACTCTGAAAAACAAACTGAGGGTTCTAGAGGGGAGGGGGGTGGGGGGATGGGTTAGCCTGGTGATGGGTATTCAAGAGGGCACGTTCTGCATGGAGCACTGGGTGTTATGCACAAACAATGAATCATGGAACACTACATCAAAAACTAATGATGCAATATATAGTGATTAACATAACAATAAAGAAATTTAAAGAGAAAAAAAAAAGAGAGAGCCTTTTCTTCCTAAGGAAATAGAAGAGGGTGTTCTTAGGTAGTCAACTTTTGCACCCTTTCCATCCACTCAGCTCCAGATCAAACTTAAAACCATCAGTAATAAAACAAGCGAAATAACTACCTTGCTCCTGGAAGCAGGTGTGTACCTGTAAGCTATACACAGGAAAAATGAAATCGCTTCCATTAAGATCTAAGCCATTCCTAGAGTCCTTTTAAAAAAAAATCAGCACTGTGTTTTTGAAGCATTAGACAACTTTTCCAACTCAGTGGACTTTAAAACACAGTTCACACTAAGGGGGTATCAAAAAATATATATATTGGTAATTTATGGGAGGCAAAAAGCTATTATTGATCGGCTATCTGAAATAGGAGAGCCTGTACTCTTAAAAAAAAAAAATCCAAGAGAGGATCATTAAGAATGCTGATAAATTCAGAATTAATGCTCCTCTTCTTCTTTCCAATTCTCCTACCAAAAAAACGACTCACTATTTTACACAGTGGATACTCTTAAATGTCAGATTCTACAGGAACTACAACACGGAAAGTTTGAATAATTATTCTTGGAAAACTTCAAAGTTTAGATGATTTGAGTTTTGTTTCTATTGTTATATATATAATATATATAATATATAAATACAAATATATATATATATATATAAAATATATATTTTGGCAAACCCCATAAGCAAGCCAGACTGGCTGGCATGATTATGAGTAAAAGGACACAGGTTTAATAGCAATTAACAGAATTAGTGGTTTCGGGAAAGCTAGAAAATATCTACGGCTCAAAGTTTTTAAATTAATGAACCTTGGTAGCTGGGACAAAAATTGACAGAAAACAAGAGGGGAACAGAGAGGCCTCTGAGGTCTCTGAAGATGTTGGCAGTGTTCTAGGGGGCGGAGCGTAGGCACAGGGTGGTCGCCATACAAAGAGCAATAATAAAGTATCCGGATTGTCCACATACGTGTGCATACGTTAAAATTAGAAAGCACTATTTCTCAAGGTTTTTATTTTTTAAATATCCCTAAAAAACTTTACTGCTCTGAATCTTTAGGGGAAATTCTAAGTAAGAGGAAAAAATACACTGGGGAGAGAAAAAGTAATTGCATGATTTTTAAAAAATAAGTTACAGAAGAAAAACAGGTTTTGAAAAGGAAGCAGTTGATATCAGGTCCACAGACCATTGGGCAAAATTAGGGGTTCTCGCCCCAGCTGTAGAGTAGCCTGATTTGAGAACATTTGAAAAATACTGATATTCAGGACCCTTCCCAGATCCATTAAGTCAGAATGTCTGAGGGTGTGGCCCAAGCGACAGTACATTTGAAAGTTCTCCGGAGGTTTACAAACAGCCAGAGTTGACAACTATTGGAGTAAACTGGCGATTCTCAATAGGGCAGCTCTGCTTTCTCAAGCTTTTCAGCCTTGTTCTTACCAAGTTTTCCAAAGTACCCAGCCAGAATCCTGGGGAAAGGGGAACAGGCAGGAGAAAGGTTACAGGGAGGAGAGTTTGACAAGACTTCCCTAGATAAGATCCTTCCCCTTTACCACTCCTCTTGAGAACTACTGGTCTGAACTATCCAAGATGACTCACCCCTTTTCCTATGTGACCTTTAAACATTTGAGGATAAGGAAAAAGAAAAAAAAAAAAAAAAAACAACAACAAATACACAATAAAAACAAGTTCTTGAATCCAGAAGGCAAATCTCAACCTGGCCGGTGTGCTACCCCATCCAGCACATTCGCTCAAGGAGAGCAGAGGGGAGGACACACCTCAACAGCCCCGAAGAAGTGTTCCGTCAGAGGTGCCCAACAACACACTGTACTCCAGCCCACGGCCCCAGCCCCTCTCTAGCCATTTGGCCAAAACTAAAACAAAAACAAGCCACAGTAGGCCAGCCTCATACATCATCAGGGCAAAATACCAGGGGTGACATGGGGGCCAGCGCTAACAAAAAGTCCAAGAGGCCTTAGTTTCACAAACAACAGACCGTTGCTTTGTCTCGTCATGCTTCCCAATAAAAGCTGCATTCAGAACACTTCTTCGAACGAGCACAGAGGCCAAGGAATGATAACCTTGAGGAGCTGTGCTGTCAAGTGGCCCTCAGAGGCCCAGCTCTTCCGTCAGCAGGGAGCGGCCAGGATCCCTCCCCTCCCAGGGTCACAGCGGGGCTGGGCACTATCTGCTTCTGCAGGGTGCCCATACAGACGAACGCCATTTTGTGCTTTCCTTTTGGTGTCGTCTTCCAGGAACACTTGCGATGGTCCTTAGTACCAGGATACACCAGGCAGTACGGTCACCATGCATGCCCTCCTACTTTCCTCGATTCCCCTGACAATTTCCACAGAAACAAAGTCTACATTATTAGCATGACTCCTTCCATTTTTCCACTCCTCAGACCCCCAGTACTGTCCATTGCACCCTCACGGGCAAGTGTATCCACAGTTAACAAGTGTTGTGTAGGGGGCAGCCTACAAAACATACAAAACAGAATGTCTTATCTCCACTCCACCACCCTAATCCTCCAACCGTCCAACCACTCTTCTCTTGATGCTCCAATCAACATCAAAAGAGCTTATAGCTCTCATCAAGGAGTTTCTCGCTCCTGTGACATGAAGCGTGATCTTTTTTCTGCTTGGAATATCTTTCCCTACCCTACTTCCCTGGTCGCTTGGAAAAATCCCTCATAGGATCTTCAGCATAGAATTTATCTCCTCCAGAAACTCTATCCTAATGCCTTTCCTCTGAGTTCCCCAAATACCCTGTGCATGGCTCCATCCCTGGACTTGCCATATGGTATCATAATCACGGATTGAAGAGACTCCCCTACTCGACTCTGAGTTCACTGAGGGCAGGGACTGGGATAAAGGCATCTTTGTATCTCCGGCATCGAGGGCACACTCCATACATGCTTTTGGAATGAATGTATGCGTAATGGATCAAGACCAACGGAGGAAGTTCATGAGAACTCCTCTTCTTCCTTCACACTGGCATTTGGCAGAGGAGGCTTTCTTACCACTGTGAGGTAAAGTCAACAAACTCTTCGGAGAATTTGTCTGCCGGGAGTTGTGGTGAGGGTTCCTCGACCACCTGTTTGAGCTGCTGGAAGGGGGTTCCCCAAGAGTCGTAGGGAAACCGAAGGATCGCCAACTCAATCTAGAGGGGAGAAAAACACAAGAGGACAACCGCTGAAACGGAACCACTTTAGGGCATCTGCTGGACTCTTCTGTTCCAGGAGAATCCGAGGGAAATACAGAGGTGAAGTTCAAGTAAAACTTGGGGAGACATAAACTAACAGTATGTTCTCTACTCTTCCCCAGTTCCTAGTGCTAGGGAGTTTTGAACATTATCTTACTGGAGGCAGCCAATTAAGCTTATCTATAACTGGATCCTCCTCAAAAGCCACTGGGACACTTCATAAAATTCTAAGTCAGCAGAATTAAACTTCGGGATGGAAAGCAACCGGGTGTTTTCAATGTTTGGTCTGAAAAGTTAGTCTTGCCCTGAGAGTTTTACAGAGCTGTATATCTGCTGCCATCTACAGGTCCCTTACTGGAATGAAAAAAAAAAAACAAAACAAAACAACCTAGGACCAAATGACTGATCTTTTTTTGGATTTGAGTAAGGCCACTTTGCCATTACAAGATCATCACGTGTATTCTGGGCAGGGATGGGAAATAACGCACAGGATTTAATCAGCTGCTGTGCCTGGGAAGGAGCCAGGACCACAGTGGATAATTCCAGACCTCAGTGACACACTGAGAAAAATGTATGATCACCGAAGTTACAAATGGTAACTGTAGGACTGTGCCGAAGGAAATTATCTTGTTTGTTACTATGTCCTTCGGCTATATCTGACCTCAGTGGCCAAGACCTCTATCAGAACCATATTCTGGGAAACACAGCCTATGTCCTGGATAGGACATAACAGCTCAGTCAGGGTCCGCACACATGAGCACTCTTGGAGCAGCTTCAACTTCATGCCTAGATGAGAATAATTTAAAGCTATAGGCAGGATTCGTTTTACAGATGAGGATAATAAGACAGTGCATGGGACTCCATCAGTTTACTCAAAGGCCACACCCAGTTAGAGGTGGAATAAAGAGAAAAACTGGGTTTGCCCAATCCCAGTGCGGTCTTTCTCCACCACACGACCCTGCAGACAATCATCATTCAAAACTTCCTGCTCTGTCCGGCAGGAAAGGATGCTCAGGACTCACAGGTAGGGTATTTGCTTTTTGGTCACAAAACCCACCCCACTTCAGCTTCATGCCCAGAACCTCACAGTCCAGAATGATCGTCACACGTTACCATTGTGATGCCCAGACTCCAAATGTCAGACTTCACACTGTATCCCTTCTGGTTGAGCTCTGGGTTTATTCTTTCAGGCTGCAAAGGAGACAGAAAAAGACAAATGAGATGACACTCTTAGCTCAATAAAGTCTCCAGGGGTGGGGGTGTCACCAGCTGCCAAGTGACTCGTTTTAAGCTTGTTAACATGCCTCCCAGGCCAAAAAAACTCACTCACTACAATACATATCGATGCCTCCGTGGGATCTTCCTCATTCTACAGGAGTCTTTTCTTGGAGACAAAAAGGGATCAAAGTCTCTCACGATTCAAAACTCATTAAAAAAAAACTAATTTCAATTTTGCCTTAGGATGAAATAGGATACACAGTATAAATTTACTTTGCCAGGGGCGCCTGGGTGGCTCAGTTGGTTAAGCGACTGCCTTCGGCTCAGGTCATGATCCTGGAGTCCCGGGATCGAGTCCCACATTGGGCTCCCTGCTCAGCAGGGAGTCTGCTTCTCCCTCTGACCCTCTTCCCTCTCGTGCTTTCTATCTCTCATTCTCTCTCTCTCTCAAATAAATAAATAAAATCTTTAAAAAAAAAGAATAATAAATTTACTTTGCCAGTCTAGAATTTTCCTTGTTAAGAACCCCAACAGTCCAGAACTCAATAGTAAGAATCCGCAAGAGTCACCAGGCTACTGTCTGAGATTAGCTCAACACCAACAGGAAGGTTCTCAACCCAAATGCAAATCTAGTTCAAAACAGAATACAGAAGCCCCTTAATGTTAAAGGGGGTCCCAAGGTCTCTGCCAATGGCAGTGAACCTTCCCAGCCATGAGCATCTCTCATCTAACTGACTTGTTTGGGTCATTTAAATTCTGTTTACTCTTCTGTCCCCAACAAACAGGATAACACTCCCCGGCAACACAGCGTGAAAAATTTGTGTGGGCTGTATGTATTACTTAATGTGTTTCTTTTTTTCAAGTAATAGACCTCCTTTACTCGAATTTTTAAAAAATAATATGTTTGAAGCAAGTGACCAAGGATTTCAGACAGAAAAATACTTCAGAAAAAAATAAGATGCAGAGTATTTCTTGCACCGTAAGCACATTTCCATTCTCCCTCTGTGGCCATCCATTTCCTATTTCCTGGTGAGGTTTGTGGGTGGCTGCATTCCCAGATGCTTCCCCCGGCTGCCGTACTTACGGCCATGTACGGTTTGCATCCTGCATCAATAGTTTTAGCGACAGAGTCTACAAGGTAGCCACTGATTCCAAAATCGCACATCTTTACTTGGCCCAGAGTGTTGATCAGCACGTTGGAAGGCTTGACGTCTGAAAGCAAGAACAACCAGGAGCCCGTGATCCCAGCCTGCTCTGAAGATTTATGTGTCCACCACCAGGGGGCCTGACATCTCGCCTTCCCTGCTCTCTGAGGCCCTCCCTGACTCCCAACTTACATGCATCTTACTGCTTCCAACTTGATTTTCTATTTCATGTTTTGTCCATCTTGCAGGATTGTGACTCCATCAACAGAAAGGACTGTTTCCTCTATTTACCATCTGCATTGCCCCCATAAGTGTAGTAAAAACTTAAAAAATTATTACTGAATCAAATGCCCCGTTCCTTGGGCATGCATAGTCTCAATGACACCAAATGAATAAGTTCTAGAAATCCGCTGTACTACATTGACCCCATAATAAATAATACTGCACTGCACACTTAAAATTTGCCACGAGGGTAGATCTCATCGTAAGTGTTCTTATGACAACAAAGTAATTTTTGTAAAGCCCAGCTCGTCATGACCTAATGCACAGTAAGGGTAGGAGTAAACAGACCGCAGAATGGTAAGGCAGACTGCAGTATAAACATACATCAAATCTGATCAAGGCAACCAGTTTCGATGGAAGCATCTGCAAGAGGTGTGTCTGAGGTCACATAGTGGAACTCATCAGGAATTCAGATATTCCAGACCACAAAGCATACCCCCAAAGAGATAATCATTGTCATCTCTGGATGATGGACTTAGAAATTACAGTTAACTTTTTTCCCTCGTGAGGCTTTTCACAGAGGACGTGTAATCAGCAGAGTAAGTTATTCTAAAAACACTAAAAGTTATCCTTTATAATGTTTTCCCTTAAACTGAATGGTGGACATGCAAATTTTATTATTTTTATACTCTAGGTATATATTTTAATACAAATGAAGTACTTCCTAATTCTGAAATAAATCCTTAAAAATTAAGTTTCACATGTGTGGACAATCCACATTCTTCTTCCCAACTGGATTCTTCCCACTTCCTTCTCCTCTTCTTCCTCCCTATTTTTCCAACTTCTAATAGTAACAATTAACGATAATAATAACAGCAATAACAATAATAACAGGCACTCTGGGCAAAGCATTTTACATCACTTTGAGGCTGACTCAGACAGTTTAAGAATTACCAAATCTCACTACCCCAACAGCTATCCATACTTTCCACTAATTCTTCTTCAGACTTGGTTGAGTGAGTATCTTCTAAGAAGTTCTCCTTGACTATAGTCACCCGGTGCTAATCATTTCCTTGCTTTGGAGTTTACCTAGAGCACTGCCATATTTGGTAATTTGGTATTTATAATGGTTGATTTTTTCCATGTGTTTGTTGTACATTGGTCTCATTTCCCAAAGAATCCCGTTGTGGAATTTTAATTAGAATATGTTTTGTTTCCATATACCTCTCAAGGCACCTATTATAGTGACGCATAAATGGTGGGAAAATGATTATAAGTGATAAATGGATAGACAGATGGAAGATGGAAGAATGGATATATGGATGGATGGATGGATGACAGGCCAATAGGAGAAAAAAAGAGGAGGTAGAGGAAGAAGAGATAAATCTATCAATTTTTTTTTTCATTTTATCCTGCCTCCTGCCGTCTGAAAAACCTGTACTTTATACCAGAACTTTCCATCTTTAAGGTATACAAAAATTACCTGGGGATCTTGTTAAAAATGGAGATTCAGGTGGTCTGGGGACCCATGATTCTGCTTTTCTAAGAAGCTCCCAGGTGACAGTCAATACTACTGGCATTTTTACCTTACTCTCTAAAATTCTCAGTGGGATAATCCCAGAGCTGTGCTTGGTAACAGGTGTTTTAGATTCAGTGTAGGAGCACTAAAAAGCCCATGTCTTCGTGTGTCCTCAGACAAGTTAAAAAGCAGCTACTTATATGATCTCCTGTTCCTACGGGAAGGAAAACCCCTCAGTTCTACTGCCTGACTCATTTCCACTTATACCCACTGGGGGAAGAAAAGTCTGGGTAAAAGAAATGGATGTTATAAAAGGAAGAGTCAAAGCAACTCCATGCATGCTTACCTCGATGAATGACAGAGAGCTTACTGTGTAAGTGTTCTAAAGCTTTTACAATCTGCAAGAGAAACACAAGATAGATTCTTCTCCATCATTGGAAAGAAACTGAATGTTAAGTATACCCAGGTTTATGATCCCAGGCTTAATGTCACCAGGTGAGGTATTTTCTCTAATAGCAGTGGCCCTATCCAGGAAAATACACAGGTAGCTACACTTATTGACCTCCACCCCCCAGAGAGAACCAGATCTCACAGTAGAAAGGATGATCTCGCTCATCTAGCCGGTGTTTCATTTGGCCTCCAGCATCTTTTTTTCTCTCCACCCTCATGAGCCTCAGTAGCCATTAAGAGAACAATCTTTCTTTACGTTTCATTTTCTTCTGCTTCTTTCTATGCCCTACTAGCCTTAAGAAAACATTTAAAAATCTACAAATGAAAATCAAAGTAAACTAGTATCAGAATATAGACACGAGGAATGTGGTCATAGCAGATGAAGGCATTGCTTAGAGGCATTTTAACGGAGAGTTTACCAAACCAAGTCAGTGGTAGAATCTTCGACACAGTGCCCAGAAAGAAAAGCATTCATTTACTAGTCCACAGATGCACTCCTGCACTCAGCAGACATGTGCTATTGCTCACATCCATCTAGCGTTTGCTCACAATAGGGAATCAGACACACATCAGGTCTAGACTTCTCATATGCTCCTTGTAGTAGAGTTCATGATGTACTCACAGAAACTGCTATTTTCCCTAAGATGTCCTCTGGAATTGTTTGGCCTTTATCGATCACTTGTTTGTAGAATTTATCTAGCGACGTATCCATGAGCTCCATGCAGATCCAAACATCACCCTGGAGATAAATTGGTTCAGACATTGTTGGAGAGGATAGAAAAGGAAAAGAAGGGGAAACAGTTAACACCTGTCGGGAAAAAGCATTTCTTACTTGAGTTTTTGGAGGACATGTACAATTTCCCTTCAAGATCTCAAAGGAATTTACAAACAAGCAAGTTCATTTCCAAAAAGCCAACTAGTGGAGAGCCAAGCAGAACCTGCATGTGATCACCTACTCCTTGATAAAGAGCAAGATCTAAATACTAACAGTCACTCCAGCTATGGAAGGAAGAAGTTACTAGAATAAAAGGCACAGTATAGGGAATATAGTCAATGATATAATAGAGTTATATGGTGACAGACGGTCGCTACACTTGTGGTGAACACCTATAATGTAGAGAGAAGTTGAATCCCTATGTTGTACAACCTGTAACTAATGTAACATTGTGTGTGACTCAAATTTAAAAAAAAAAAACATTTTAAATAAATAATACATCAGTACTATTAGTCACCAACAGTAGATCCCCAGAAATCCAGGCCTTCATGGTTACTGTCCTCTAAGGATTAGGTCTACAGGCCTACTCCATGTCTGACCTCCCACCCGGAACGCTGGCAATCATTCATCCAAAAGCTGGTTGAAGCCTCATAATCCATATCGTGGGAAAGTGAAAGCAGAGGTAAAGCAAAGAGATAAATGTAAGCCTCCGGGGTACATAAACAGGGTAAATAAAGCTTATCATTTGGCCAAAAGACCACAGTATTTCAGATTTTAAGAAATCTGCCTAAATTAGTCTATAGGCAATTGATAGAGATAACCATGCCAAAATAAACAAACCAAAACAGAAAGGAGAAAGGGAGCCTCAGGGTCTTCAAAAGGGCTAGACATATTGGAAAGACCATCATTTCAAGCCAACTTTGCATCAGGGCATGTCATCACTGCCAGAGCAGAACTCACTCTACAGAAGACACGTCAAATGAGAAAAAGTACCAGGATTGTGCATCATGTTCATGCGATTAGAGAAACACCTTTTTAAGTCCTTGTCCTCCCCAGATGTTGAGTTGAAGGATCACCTACCTCCCGGAAGAGTGCACCATAAAAGGTGACGGTAAAAGGACAGTCCACTGTCCTCATGGAAATATCCAAATCCATCAGTAGCCTTTTCTGCTCCTGGCTATTTACTGTGGCCCGGATCCGCTGAATGGGAATGCATGGAAAAACGTATGGTTACTGCTCTGAGGATGAGTCAGTTAATAAGGCAGGGACCTTAAGGAGTCCCATCCCGAAAATACTACAAAACTCACAGAACAAGTTCTAGCAACAACCTTTCAAGTATTTACCCTAGTGATCAGCTATTTGTAACAAATGAGAAATAAGGAAGACTTTCAGTGGATTTTCTGAAAAATCCCTGGCAAGAAGCAAACTGATAATATATTTTGGAAAGTGTGCAAATGTTGGCAAATGTACTTCCTTCCAAGTCACAAAAACAGCCGGCTTTATTGTGTTCTGTCTGTTCAGTACAGAGAACAGAGTATTCGTGACTTTGTGGCTAACTCGGGATCCCACAAAAATATCTAAAAGCCCCTCTTTGGGAACAAGTAAAAATATTTGGACTAAGTACCAACTGTAAAAGAATGGACAGAGCTATCAGAAATGGATAGAACCAAGCAAAAATGGAGAGACTGTTCATTCCTATCCCAGGGCTTCTGAGAGAAGAGACACCTGTCACACCAGCAAATGCAGACTTAAAGAAATACGATTCTGTCATTAAATGACAGTAAAGATATAATATCACGAGGCTTTCATATTTTTGGCCTAATTAGCAAAAAGTCTGAAGAAGAACACATGGCAAAATCTAAAAGGTAAGGGAAAGATACCTCCATTCTCCAAAAACAAAGGGATCCAAGCCTTCTGACCATCCACGTTCCTAACAAAGGCCCAAATCCATGAATTCATGTACAGACGGTGGATCCCCAAAGCCCCACAAGCATCTACTCAAGAAATATTCAATGAGGGGCACCTGGGTGGCTCAGTTGGTTAAGCGCCTGCCTTCAGCTCAGGTCATGATCTTGGGGTTCTGGGATCGAGCCCTGCGTGGGGCTCCCTGCTCAGCAGGGAGTGTGCTTCTTCCTCTGCCTCTCCCCTCACTTGTGCTCGCTCTCTCTCTCTTTCAAATAAATAAATAAAATTTTAAAAAAAGAAATATGCAATGATTCTAAATTTCTTTTTCCAGCTCAAAAATGATGCAAATTCACTCAAGATGCATTTTACCCTCCTTTTTTCCAGAAACAGACAAAATTTTCTCCCTCAATTCTGATTTCCTGATTTTCGGGGACCATTCTTTAAAAGCAACAGAATATTAGAATACAAGACTTTTGAGACATAACAACCAAATGCAGTATGTGAACTTTTATTTGGATTCTGATTTCAACAACCAGCAGGCAAACAACAACAACAACAACAACAAAAAAAACATGGTGATGACCCAGGTAATTTTAATTTGGAGCTGGTATTCCATGACATTAAAGAAGTATTGATAATTCTTTTAAGTGTGATGACATGGTGGTTACATAAAAAATTAAAAGGAGGGGGTCAGATTTATCAGTTAAAATAAAAAACAAAACCAGTAAACACAACTCAACCAAGGAGGCATTTTCCAGACATTTGGAGGGAAATACTGTTCCCTACAGAAAATCTTCTTTGTTTGACCCCATTGAAGATTGTTTTGCATCTATGGAAAGAATCGTTTTGCAATTGAGATGGACGAACGTATATACCACAGACAGAACATGTTTGGGGAGCGTCAACTCTACCTTCACCGCCATGATCTGCCCGCTGGGCACGTGTCGCATCTTCTCCACCACCCCGTACGCACCTCGCCCCAGTTCCATTATAGGCTCCAGGTCATCTGCTTTCACCTCAAAGTTCTACAAGAGAGAATAGTAATAATGCAAGAGTAAAGAAAAAAATAAAGGACATAAACTACCTCATCCTCTCTCTGGCTTTTCCCAATATTCTAAGGGTTATTTCTGGTCCAGAAGCTTCAGGTCTAGAAGTTTTATCCAAGTAGCCACTGCAAGCAGGAAGCACCAGGAGATGTTCAGACTCACAGAGTATGCCACCTGCTTGTCATGGGCACTACAGAGATCCAGTTCCAGCTCAGCCTCCAAACTCACTGTGAGTTATCTACTGGCTCCTTAGCCCTGCCCCCTTCCTCATACATTTAATCCATTTGCTGACTGTTGGCAACTAGATCTACACTTGGACTTTGAGGACTGCACCCCAAAGCCAATCATCTACTCCCCTCAAATACCTTCCACCAGGGCAACACTAGCCTGATTTCAACAAGGCATCCAAAACAGCAAGAACCACCCACTGCTTCTGCTTAAACTCAAACTTTTGGACCCATCCCTTGACGGCATGCTATGGAAAATAAATTTTCCAATGGCCAGTCACAAAGCATATATGAGAAATGGTCAAGATATTAACTGGCAAACGTGATTTTTTTCTTACCTGATTTCCAATAGAAATGCAAGCTTTAGAGTCTAAGTCTCGAGGTGGCCTAAGAAAGAAAAGGAGGAAAAGAAAAAACATGAGGTATTTAGTCAACTATGCCCTTCCCAAATCATATACAACTGGAGAGAGTTTTCCTTATGGTTAAGTTGGAAGTTCATAAGTAAAATAAAGTACCACAGAAGTGTTAATAGTGCAGGATTTGGAATAAAATATATTTGGGTTTAAATAACTTCATCTCCAGGGTGCCTGGGTGGCTCAGTCGGTTGAGCGTCTGGCTCTTGATTTCTGCTCAGGTCATGATCTCGAGGTTGTGGGATCAAGCCCTGCACTGGGCTCCATGCTCAGCAGGGAGTGTGCTTCAGATTCTCTTCCTTTCCCTTTATCCCTTCCCATCCACCCCGCCCCACGCTGGCTCTCACACTCTCTCTCTCTAAAATAAATAAATCTTTACAATGAATAAATCACTTAATCTCTTTGACCTTCTATTTCTTCTTTTACATGAAGATATTAATATATCCTGAGATATTCCAAGTAAAATGCTTAGCAGAATGGCTGGCATACAGTAAATATCCAATGAATATGACCTAGGTGTATAGAATTATATAAATAAACATACTATTCTAGTAAACCCCAAACTTTTTCTTTCATCCAAGAACACCAATGTGCCCAATTATTCCATCACATTTTCCCATAATTTAAAAAAAATAATAATTAGCATATGGTTATGTTAACTCACAAAATCCATAAACCATAATAATTCCAAATCTCTCTAGTCCCCATGTTTAGAGATGGAAAAAGGCCCAGAGAGGTGAAGTAACTTGCCCAAGGTCACAACACTAACCCAGTGACTTGCCCAAGGTCACAATTAACCCAGGTCTCCTGGTTTGCAGGTCAGAATATTTCCTGTTCTATCAGGTGTCTAAGACAGTTGTGTTATTTCTTCCATACACAGCACACACACTGTCCAGGGATCATCTCAACACCCAGAGGTTGGCTGATTTTGTGTCTCCATAGAGAAAGCACACGGTCCCCTCATGTGCATGTATTTCTACTACTTCAGTACTAGCTGGGTTGATATCAATCCACTCAAGAGAAAGATGTTTGGCTTTGGCCATGCAACTAACTAAGAGCTTAAATAAATGCACCAAAAGTACCACCACCAAAAGACAAAAGATTCTGGGGCTGCCAGAATCAAAGGTGAACAAAAAGACCCAGGTCTTCCTAAGGGGACATTCCATGTAGAACTCTCTAGAAACATATAGGGGAAAATGGAAGGAAGGAACGATGATAGGAAGGGGGAAAAGAATCCTAGCCCATGACAATTTTTCCCACCCTAATGTGCTATAATTCTGCCCCTTCTGCTGAAACTAACTAAATAAAACAATAAGGAAAAAATGGAAATATAAACACAGATATAAACATAAATTTAAGGTTTTAATGGCAAGCCCTCCCTCACCTCAAAATCCCTTTGAAATGCATAGAATACCTAAAATAAAGTTTTTCTGGACCAACTTAAAACCAGGAACTGGTAGGGAGAGACACAAAGGAACACACACACACACACACACACACACACACACACACACACACACATCCCAGTACACACCAGTGATGTTTTTATATATCTTGTGTTTATAAGCAGGGAATTTTTCTTCAGAAATACTTTCCAGAGGATTGCATCTCTAAAGATCTGATTTCTCATTCTCAAAATTTCCAAAGCAATTTTTCTTTCATCATCAATGATTTGTACTAATTGCAATGGAACTCTGAAATAAAGACAAATATTACTTGAAACGTGTGACTACCATAAACAATAAAAAATCTCTTGCAGTTGTTCAGCACCCTTCCTTTTAAAAAGTAAAAAGGGGCTTCCGGAAAAGGGGCTTCCTCCCTTTTCTTGCCATCCAAGGAAGGCATTGGGTAAGACCCCTTCCAGCTCTGGTATTCCAGTAATCATACGGGGCTTTGCAAATTACAGCCTGTGGCCCAGCTAAGAGTGACTGTTTTCAAGTTTAAAAAGTTGTTGGAAAACAGACTACGAAGAATATCCAACTGGGGCCAGTTAGGGACCAGGTAACCAGAAATATTTACCAGCTGGCCTTTGTAAAAAAAAAAAAAAAAAAAAAAAACGTTTGCTGAACTCCAGTGTTGTACTAATCTTGCAGTATATACCTCTACCGAATAGGAGAGGGTCATGCAATTTTCCAGAATGAGAAAAATGGAACCCAGAAAAGCTGAGATTTGCTAAAGCCAGACAGCCCAAGAGAGCTGAAAATAAAACTCATGCCACTTGAATCTCAGTCTTGACCTAAAGAGAAAGGGATATAGGCTGAATCGAGTGCAATGCTTTATCTACATCTCATTTAATTCTTTAAACACACACACACACTCTCTCTCTCTCTTATGAGTATCATTACTCCCATGGTCCAGATGAGAAACCATTTGGCTCAAAGTTTAACTAACTTGCTCCCAAGTGGTAAGGCCATGATTTCAGCCCAACTCTGATTGAATCCAAGGAACCTACTCCCAACACCCAGGGCCCCTCTAATGAAAATGATCAAGCCACCCAACCCTGAGGCCTTTGGGCTCATCAAGTCTGCCAAAAGCATCAAATGATGGGGCCAAGGCTGACGGCTCATATTAGATTCGTTGACACTGTGTTCTGTCCAGGGCTGGGCATATTAGTTTGCCTGGGGCACTGAGTCTCTGCAGGAGGTTAAACTGTGGGTGTATGTTCTCTATTGCTTATTCAATATTTTAGTCCTCTGGGGAAAGAAACAGGCTTATTACAAAATTCCTTCCCTGGAAGGTCAAAGGTACTCCAAAGGTCACCTAGTATTAGCTTTTTGGAGCCTGAACTCTTACCCATGAAGTGATGCTCAACTGTTCTGACCACCTGACCTTGTACAGGTCTGTTTTCTCACTTATAAAGTAAGAGTAACAGGTACTGACTGCCTCCTGAGCTTCTTGGGAGGGTTAACTGGAATAATACTCACTAGCATAGAATCAATTCAGAACTAGCTGTTGCCAATCAAGTATGGGGACAGCTCAGAAACCTGAGCCAAAGACACATTGGCATCAGTTACTCAGCGAAAGAGCTCAAGCAGAGGGACCACACACATAGAACTAGGAAGAATGGACCTCTGTCCCAGGATATTTATTTTTGTGTAGTACAGCAGAAGAAGGCAGGGTATAAATGGTACGAGTCACCAAGCCAACCTTAAAAAATTGCCAAAAGAAACACAAAATGTGGAAGCTACTTCTTTAGGACTATGAATATAAGCATCAGTATTAAAATACTACTACTAATAATAAGGCTCTCTGGGAGCTAAAGTGGTCTAGTCTACAAAATAAAGTGATGCTCTTGGCTTTATGCAGTGAAAAAGAAAATCAATTAAACACATTCAAAGTTTATTCTACCACAGGAGGGAAAGACAACACAGAAACTGGGTTTATCATTGCATAGGTTTTTACTCATTTGTTTACACCAAGGTAGGATTTATTGTGGCTTTCATAAAATTCATAAAATACAGAAAATTAATATAAATTAGAAGAAGATGAGGGCTAAAAGTTTAAAGAGAGGAATATAAGACAAGTGGGAGAGTGACATAGGACTGTACCCCAAAATCAGGGCACCTGATTGGTGGCTCTGTCAGTTGAGCATCCGACTCCTGATTTCAGCTCAGGTCTTGAGCTCAGGGTGATGGAATCGAGCCCCAAGTCGGGCTCCACGCTCAGTGGGAAGTCTGCTTAAGTTTCTCTCTGTCTGCCCCTGCCCCCTCTTGCATGTGCACTCTCTAAATACATACATACATACATACGTACATACATACATAAAATGTTTTAAAATAGCAATAATATTGATAAACCTCCAGCAAGGCTGACACAGATTACAAGAGAGAAGGCAGATTTCCAGTCTCAGGAAAAAATAGGATATCACAACATGTCCTGTAGCCATTCAAAGAATAATCAGGAAATACTATAAGCAATGTTCCTCTTAGAACTTAGAACTTAGAACTTAGAACTTAGAAGAAATGGACCCATTCCTTGAAAACCAGCAACTGCCCAAACTTGAAGAAACAGGTCATCTGAATAGTCCTATAACAATCACAGAAATTGATTTTGTATTTTAAAAGCCCCAGAAAAAAGAAATATATTGGCTCACTTTGTTTCACTGGAGAATTTTAGCAAACATTTTTTAAAAAGAATTAATACAGAATTTATGTGTCTACCAGAAAAAAAAAAAAACAGAAGAAACTCTTACCAATTCATTTTATGAGGCCAATATTACCTTAATGTCAAAACCAGAAGATAACAGCACACACACACCCCCAAAAAAAGAACTCAGAACAACCCACTACAGACCAACATATCTCATGAGCTCAGACACAAAAATCCTCAACAAAATTTCAACAGATTGAATCCAACAATGTATTTTTAAAAATGTACCACAACCAAATGGAATTTATTTGGGGCATGCAAAGCTCGTTTAATATTTAAAAATCAATCATAATGTAATCCATATCAACAGTACAAAGAAGAAAAATCTATGATCATGTCAAGTGATGCACAAAAAAGCACTTAACAAAATTCAAGACACATTAACAATAAAAACCCTCAGTACCCCACAACTAGAGAGGAACTTTTTCAAGCCTCAACCTACAAAAACCTAACATCACGCTTAATGGTAAAGATTGAACACTTTCCCTCTAACAACAAACCAAGGTTGCTTACTCTCACCAATCTTATCTGACATAGTACTGGACATTCTTGCCACTCAAATAAAGCAAAAAAATAACGAAAGTTTTTAAAAATACAATTTGGAAAGGAGAAAGAGAACTCTCTGTTTGCAGGTGGCATGATTGCAGACATAGAAAACTCTATAAAGAATCTACAAAAACACACACACACAAAGAATCTACAAAAATGCTCCTAGAACTACTAAGTGAATTCAGTATGGTCCCAGGATACAAGAGCAATACAGAAAAATCTACTGCATTTCTACACACTGACCCTTAACAGGTGGAAACCAAAATTTAAAATGGAGTATCATTTACAGTTGCTCCCCACAAAATGAAATACTTAGGTATAAATCTTAACAAACCCTACCGTAAAGAGTCCATATGATAAAAACTATAAAATGCTGATGAAAGACATCAAGGAAAATCTAAAGACTTGCAGAAATCTACCAGGTTCATGGATTAGGAGACTCATTGTAGTCAAGACGTCAACTCTCCCCAAATCGATCTAAAGGTTACACATAATTCCTACCAAAATCTCATCAAATTCATTTGTAGACATAGACAACCTGATTCTAAAACTAATATGGAAAGGGAAAAGCCCCAAAATAGCCAAAATCATTTTGAAAAACAAGAACAAAGTGTGAAGCAATAGGTTCTTAAAATTGTCACCGAAAGCATGACCCGTAAGAGGAAAAATTGCTAGATGGGATTTCATCAAAATAAAAGGATGAAGAGACAAATTATAGACTGGGAGAAAATGTTTTTTAAATCACATATCTGACAAACTCCTTGTGTCTAGAATATAGAAAAGAGCTCTCAAAACTCAACATTAAAAAAGTAATCTAAGAAGTAGGCAAAGACGTGCACAGACATTTCACCACCAAAGATAGATAGATAGAAAATAAACACCTAGGGGCGCCTGGGTGGCTCAGTCATTAAGCGTCTGCCTTTGGCTCAGGTCATGATCCCAGGGTCCTGGGATTGAGCCCCGCGTCGGGCTCCCTGCTCAGCGGGAAGCCTGCTTCTCCCTCTCCCACTCCCCCTGCTTGTGTTCCCTCTCTCGCTGTGTCTCTCTGTCAAATAAATAAAATCTTTAAAAAAAAAAAAAAAGAAAAGAAACACCTAAAACTACTCAGCATCATCATTAGAAAAATAAAAATGAGAATTGCAAGATATATCATTTTACATCTATCAGAATGGCTAATGGGGCTCCTGGGTGGCTTAGTCAGTTAAGTGTCCGACTCTTAACTTCAGCTCAGGTCATGATCTCAGGGTTGTGAGATCGAGCCCCATGTCAGGCTCCATGCTCAGCAGGGAGTCTGATCAAGATTCTCTCTCTCTCCCTCCCTCTCCCTCTGCCCCTCCCCCCAACTTGCACTTTCTCTCTCTCACGCAAAAATAAATAAATAAATATTTTTTAAAAAAAGAATGACTAAAATGGATAATAGTGTTAATGTTGGCAGGGATGCAGAGAAACTGGATCATCGCAAATTGCTAGTAAGAATGTAAAATGGTACAACCACTCTGGAAAATACTTTGGAAGTTATTTCAAAAATGGACTTACTGAATGGCCCAGCAATCACACTACTGGACATATGCTCCAGGGAAATGAAGACTTATTTTCATGCAGAAACTTACTTTTGTCACAATAGCCCCAGTTTTCCAAAACTGGAAACTACCCATATCTCCTTCAAAGGCTAAAGGGTTCAACAAACTGTGGTATATCCATACCATGGAATGGATTCAGCAATAACAAGGAAAGAACTACTGATACATGCAACAACTTGAATGAGCCTCGAGGAAACTATGCTGCATGGAAAAGCCAATCTTAAATAGGAGACGCATGACTTAGTTTATGTAGCAACCATGAGACAACAAAATGGAAATGGGAAACAGATGAGTGGTTGCCAGAAATTAGGGTTGGGGGTTAGAGGTGGGCGTGACTATAAGGGAGTAACACCAAAGAGTCTTGTGGTGTTGATACAATTGAATATCTTGATTATGGTAGTGGTTCCATAAGGCTACACGTGATAAAACTGCATAGAGCTATACACACACACACACAACGAGTACTTATAATAATGGTGAGATTTGAATAAGTTCTATGGTTTGCATCAATACCACTTTGTTTTGACATTGGGTGGCAGTTGTGTTAAGATGTGAACGTGGAGGGGAGGACACAAACTAGGGGCAGGGTACATGGGACTTCCCTGTGCACTTCTTTGTCCTCTCCTGTGAATCTACAATAATTTCAAGTTGAAAAGTTTTAAAAGTATATCACACAGAGTCCTATACAGATAGTACAGGGAAGTAATATATTTGAGTCTAAACTCTTGAGAAACCAATCAGAGAGGAGATGTTATAAATTACACAGGTCATAGGTCCACAGGAAGAAAAAAAAAACACCAAAAGGACCAAAAACACCAATCTCGATAGCAGCTATGGAAAGAACCTCCTGCTGCAGAGCCTCAGGAAAGGACCAGTCTAAGGTGAGCATTGCCCTCGAGCCACAGAGCAGAACCCGGAAGAGTGTACTTTCCGCTCTGTACTTAAAGGTTCTTGAGTGGAACGTTTGTTCATACCACCGCAGGGAATGGCCAATGGCCTCAACAAAGTCTTACAGTAGACGTGATTATTTTTATTAGTGCTTTCCAACACCAGGGTGCACTTTCTGATAGGATGGATCGTGGTTAAGGTCAAAAACCTTTAGAAAGAGAGGCACTTTTGTAGAGATGACCAACGGCCTTGAAAACTCAAGCTTCCATTGGGATGGCCTCTCCCTATACGTCCCTATACAACTTATGTTGTGACTTTTTTCCTTGCAATTTCCATTCCTCCCAAGCAGCTGCTTTGTAAGGTGGTCATATCTCCAACTGGACAGGAGGTACTCTCAGCACCCCACAGAGAGAAAAAGAAATAAGAGGGAGGCTAAAGGAGAGGGTATCCTGCTTCATCAGGACTTGAGCTCACTTAGGGATTTGGGCCAAAGCCTCTGCTAATTAAAAAAAAAAAAAAAAAAAAAAAGGTTCCTTTACCTCATTTTGCCTTCTAGTTATATGGGATAGAATTTAGGTGTCAGGATGCTGAGTCCTTACCAAATATCATCTTTCCATCTCTACTCAAGTTTTATAGTAGTGGCTCTCCCAGGGATTTGCTTATTTGCTCAAGTCTATATGGAAAAGGCAAAAAATCCAGGTCCAGGGACCTTTCTGAACTCCATAGGACCCCATATGCCAAACGCATTTGTGACACTCAATTTTCTGCCAACCAGTAATGTGAGAGGCTGAGTTCAAATCTACCCACGCAATATAGACGGACTGACCTGATTATTTCAGGTCTCAGAACAGTGAGCACATGGCTCCCCCCTCTAAAGGGCTCTTCTTTCTAACAGTGATTTCCATAGTCAAGGCATTGCTCATCAGTCCAAAAATGAACCCCCATTCCCTGGAAATCTGTAAAGTGAAGTGTTTGGATTAAGATGATGATCTTGCCAACTTACGTGGAACTGGGCTGAGGTTGTTCAAATGCTTCTTTTGGAATTTTAAGGCCAGGGTTTCGCTTCCTGCCTATGGGGAGAGACAGAAGGATAAAGTTAAGGTAGAAATCACAGCATGAGAGTGGGAACAGGGACACTGCCGCAGAAGCAAAGGGCTAGCCTGGGAGCGTGTAGCTCTCGTCTCCTCATGCAGAACCCCACTTCCCGCCCCGGAAGTCTGGGAGTGCCGAGCACCCAAGCACCAAGCAGAGCACAGCTTCCCAAATACAGACTGTGCTCATGGATGAGGTTCTTTGCCACTTAAGGATGAAAAGATCAGTATAAGAATGCTAACTCTCTTTACCCAGGAGAGCTGCCCCTTCCTCCCTGCCAAGAGGTGGTCGTTCCAACTTCTTTGTTATTTCTTGTACGTGAGAATGGTAATGGTAGATGGTATTGGCTATAGATTTTTTCCTTTTTTTTAATTTTTCTTTTAAAGATTTTATTTATTTATTTGACAGAGAGAGACATAGCGAAAGCAGGAACACAAGCAGGGGGAGTGGGAGAGGGAGAAGCAGGCTTCCTGCTGAGCAGGGAGCCTGATGTGGGACTCGATCCCAGGACCCTGGGATCATGACCCGAACCGAAGGCAGACGCTTAACGACTGAGCCACCCGGGCACCCTAGATTTTTTCCTTTTTTTAATGTCCGTCCAATATAATCACCTTTATCGCAGTATCTTACAACTTTCTCATTTGATCTGTAAACAACTGATAGATTTAACTATGGAGGGAGAATAAACAACACCTTCCCACTCTTCTGCCCTGACCATTTGTCAACCACCTGTCATAAGTGGAAACACTTAAAAGAGGGAGAGAGTAATATTTATTTATGTTTACCCTGTGCCCAAAAAGGAATAAGGCAACAGATGGGCTCATGCAAGGAGGTTATCGCTTCTTTGGGGACCAGGTGGGAATGTAACCCATGTGTTCATCCTTGGACTGAAACTACAGAGAGTTTGGCTCAAATAATTTTGCTGACGAATAAAAAAGAATAGACTGATGGCGCGCCTGGGTGGCTTGGTCGGTTAAGCATCCAACTCTTGATTTCGGCTCAGGGGTCGTAAGATTAAGCCCCGCATCAGGCTCCACACTGGGCGTGGAATCTGCTTGAGATTCTCTCTCTTCCTCTCCCCCGACCCTCCCCCTCTCTCAAGGGGAAAAATAAAAAAAGAACAGACTGAGAAATGCCAGCTCAGGAATGTGAGTAGTAGTCTCTTAAGAGCCCAGGATTTTCCTCACCTAAGGAGATCCTGGGTCTCTTCCTGCTTGGCAGGGGAAACCAAAGTAGAGCTGGATAGAATGCCGAGGGTTCTCCTTTTTTTTTTTTCCTCCCCTCTGCTCTATATCACTGGGGTGCATTACAGCACTGACACCAGCCCTGGATAAGGCCTGGGTTAGAGATTCTCAAGATGCAAAGAGACTTAAGACATCAAAGAATAGAACCTCCTTGCAGGAAAATGACATCCAAAGATTTCCGTTAATTGCTCAACATCATAGAACCAGCAACGACCCAGTCAGAATCAGAATCCAGGTCTCCAACACCCAGCCTGGAGCTTATTCCTCTCTGTTCTACAATGGAAGGAGTTCAGGGATGATCAGAGAGAGGGGGGCATGGGGAGCATGTGATTATGAGCTTTTAAAAAACCAGCTTACTTCCGGTACTTTCATGCACCAAGCGACCTCCAGAGTCACTATTCACCTGACTCTTGGTATCCTCAAGTGTAAAATGGGGAAATAATACTCATGCCGACCTCACTGGCTGGAGAGGAGAGCCATGGGGTATCACATATGAAAGAACACAGACCTATCTTAAGTAGCTGTTAATTATAATCACTTAGAGAAAGAATCTGTACAGTCTCATTAAAAAAATAAGTCATTTAAGAAGTTCATGCGCAGAACTGGTCAGATTATCTCAGTCCAAGATAATGTGTAACTGACTCTTGTTCTACCCCTTCAAAATCCAAAATCAGGATCAATCCTGCCAAGTTGTATAAAGCCAAGGAGAAATGTGCTTGGCAGTAGCCAACGCAGAGAAAGCCTTTCAGGTCCACCTTCATTGTCACAGGTCTTCTCAATGCTCTCCTCCTTTGGGCTCATCTATGTGTTTTATAAGATTCAAAACTCACTATTACTTTCCTCCTGCCGGAGTTCAGATGGCCCCGCTTAGCACACGTTACTAAGTTGGTCAGTTACACAATACAGAGAGCCTTGTCCATACATGTGGTAGATAATAGAGAGAGCTATGTACCAGGAACAATTCTCAGGGCTGGATCTGATGGTGAAAATCCCAATAGATGCGTGGCCCAATTCCAACAATTCCTCTCCATGCACCTCAGTCAAAGAGCTAGAGGATGCTATTTTAAATACCGTCGTGAGGAATGCATGACAAATTCCATTTGTCCAGATGACTACATCTCTACTCCAACACAGGTGGCAGGCAATTCAGATAATCCCAGCAGATACAACCCTGTCGTCCCCTCCGTTAAAACAAAATAAAAGTAAAATATACTTTGCCACTGAAAAAGTCTCCCCCATTGCCATGTAAGCAAACCAAAAGCAAAAGTTACTCTGAAATTCCTACACCTCTCTCTTCTTCACTTCTAACTCAGCTCTTACAAGAGAGATGTCCAGAGAGATAGCTATTTGTGGGGGAAAACTGCCTTTGAAAAACAGAGCAATGAATTAGTCTACCATAGCAATTGACTATTAGCAATTCATGATTATACGATAACTCCACAAATCATTAAAACGTCTCTGCAAAGAAACAGTAAAAGAGAGAGAGAGAGAGAGAAGTCCTTGGCACAGAGGCTAAAGGAATAAATGACCAAAACAAAAATAAGTCTTCAAGGTGTGAGAAAAGAAGGCTCCTACTTCTTTTCTGACAGCAACAAGAAAAATACTTGCAGGAGACACAAAACCTGGTTGAATGACACGGTGAGAATACACCCTGCCTTCATTTTCAACAGTGCATCAAATTGGACAAAAATCGCAGAAACATGCATCAAAATTCCATAACTCACTTACTTGCCCATCCCTGAAAGAGGAGCCCAGTAAGAGGCCAGGAGTGACTCTGATGAGGTTTTCAAGGCTGCAAGCAAGGCTCGCAGAGCAGCACACACAAGGCATTCTTCGCTCAGCTCTGAAGACCACACTTCAGCAGAGAGAAACAGCCCTGAATAGACTCCACCCTCTCAAGGGCGGATTGCAGCAAACCTCTTGGAGTTTACTGTTCCCAGCAAACCGCAACTTCACAAAGAAAGAAGGAAAGTGGGTCCATTTGGACACCGAGGCGTGACATGCACCTCTAACCAGACTTGGGAGAAAATACATCTATAAAGTAATCCTGGACCGTACTGCCTTTTCCAGCCTTTCTATAAATGCCTCTTTCATTTCTTAGGAGAAAGAAAAACAATATGTGGTCAGTTTCCAGCTGTGTTTATTTCAAAGCAATCTGTTTCCCGGGTAAGGCTGCCAACACCTGACGCTAACATTTAACACCACGTTAAAAAAAAAAAAAAAAAAAGTAAACGGAGAAGCAATGTAAGTAATACAACACTGTGCCCAAGGATGTGAAATGGCCATTTCCCCTGATAGTCTAAAGCAAACACGAAAAAATAGATCAGAAAACAGGCTCCGTGTTGGGTCCCATGCTAGTAACAACCTTCTCAGAAGGAGAGAAGGCCCGTGTGCTCCTACGGACCTTGACAAGCTTGGCCCTCTTGTTGGTACAATCTGCAGAGGGTGAGCCTTGTGGGCTTGAGCGAGCATTTGCAGCGCTGTATTACATCAGCCCCGTGCCACACCCGTGCTTGTTTTCTGAAAATGTAGCCCCACCACACACATATATTTGCAACATTCATCTTAAACCAAAGCTGGGTCATTATAATCCTGGCCGGGAGCAAAAATGGCACCGGAAGACAAAAACTTTGCCAAGAGTTAGCAAACATTTCCCAGGCCGCATAAGTGTTCGCTAGCTTTGACCATCCCGAAAATGATGGGGTACACAAGACCTCTTGCTCAGTACCCACGCGGACAGGCTGGGCACAAAGAGCTTCTCTCATGTGCCTTATTACATAAAACAGAAAAGATGGTGTTCCAGTGCCAACCCAAACAGCCAGAGAATCCCACAGGGTCAACAGAAGGTGGCATCATGAGGATATGCTGATGCCTATTTGTCAGCTTGGCTGGGAGGTCGGGGGGTGGGGGGAGTGACAATGAGGGTTTATGATTATTGCTGCAGCTTTACAAAAGGATGACATTGCTTCCGGGGCCAAATTTAATTTCCAAATCTGTTTCCCAATGTGAATGGGATTTCCAGCCAAGTCACCGGCAACCTGGAGGCCTTGGCTGCCCTCTCCTTAATACTTGCATCTAGGCTTAAGTCCCCGGGGTAGCCGGCACCGAAATCGGGAGAAGAGTGTCATTAGATGTTATTAAACTGCGACGATCTGATGCAAAGCAACTAACGGAGCAGGGCCGAGGCGAAGGAGTGCAAGGAGAAAGCTGGCTTCGCCAGAGCGAAAGGACACAGATGCTTCCGTCCGCCCCCCCTCAACCGCTGGATCTCACCCACCACTGAGACTCCAGTGAGCATGCCAACGTTCTGCAGAATGACATAACATTTAGAGAAAGAAAGCTGACCAGCTCAGGTTAAAACGTGCGGTGGTTTTACAATAGCCGAACTGTGGAAAGAGCCAAGATGTCCATCGACAGATGAATGGATAAAGAAGAGGTGGTATATATACACAATGGAATATTATGCAGCCATCAAAAGGAATGAGATCTTGCCATTTGCAACAATGTGGATGGAACTGGAGGGTGTTATGCTGAGTGAAATAAGTCAATCAGAGAAAGACATGTATCATATGACTTCACTGATACGAGGAATTCTTAATCTCAGGAAACAAACTGAGGGTTGCTGGAGTGGTGGATGGGAGGGATGGGGTGGCTGGGTGATAGACATTGGGGAGGGTATGTGCTATGGTGAGCGCTGTGAATTGTACAAGACTGATGAATCACGGATCTGTACT